AACAACGAGACAAAAAATATATTGATATTAACATAGATAAATAATTTTAATGAGCGGGGTTCAAGTCCCCACCTAAAAAATAGGTTGGCTCCACCATTTGTTATACAAGCCACAGATTGTAGATTTTCTTATCATTATTGTTCCTAGATTTGGAATTTGTTTTTTTCTTTGAAAATATTAAAAACTTCAATTAAATATAAAAATATTATATTATTATAAAAATAATATAATATAAAAATAATTGACTAATAAAAATCAAATTTGAAGTTGAAACAAAACCAGATCATGCCATGTTCCTGGATTTATTAAAAATATATATAATATTGTACTTTGTTGATTTGATAATTATTATTAAAATTCACTTACAGACCCACATAGGAAAAGAAAATTATGGTAATTTCATGGTTTTGGTAATGTGTACATGAACTATCGAACATCGATGAACTGAATCATTTAATATTTATATCTCGAACATTAACATCGTTCATTCCAATTGATAATACAGGATTCCATCAATGCAGATGGGGATACCACAACCTATCCGTAGTCGAAGAAGTTGTCGCAAGCTACAAAAAGGCGCAAATCCCACTCGACGTAATATGGAACGACGACGACCACATGGACGGCCACAAGGACTTCACACTCAACCCCAAAAACTACCCCCACCCGAAGCTCTCCGCATTCCTCGACAAAATCCACTCCCTCGGCATGAAGTACATCGTCATCATCGACCCCGGGATCGGCGTCAACAATACCTACGGCACCTACACGCGCGGCCTATCCAACGACGTCTTCATCAAGTACGACGGCAAGCCCTTCTTGGCCCAAGTCTGGCCCGGGGCCGTCAACTTCCCCGACTTCCTCAACCCCAAGACCGCAGAGTGGTGGGCCGACGAGATCCGCCGCTTCCACGCCCTCGCCCCCGTGGACGGCCTCTGGATCGACATGAACGAGGCTTCGAACTTTTGCAACGGACTCTGCACGATTCCTCAGGACCGGATTTGCCCTAACGGCACCGGTCCTGGATGGATATGCTGCCTCGACTGCAAGAACATGACCAAAACCCGGTGGGACGACCCGCCCTACAAGATCAACGCTTCTGGCACACAAGTCCCGATCGGATACAAAACTATCGCCACGAGCGCTTATCACTATAACGGCGTGTTGGAGTACGACGCGCACAGTCTCTACGGGTTCTCGCAGTCGGTCGCCACCCACGAGGGGCTTTTACGTCTCGAGGGGAAGCGCCCGTTCATACTCACGCGATCCACCTTCGTGGGGTCGGGGCGGTACGCCGCGCATTGGACGGGGGACAATAAAGGGACGTGGGATGATTTACGGTACTCGATTTCGACGATGCTTAATTTCGGAATATTCGGAGTTCCGATGGTCGGTTCCGATATATGCGGATTCTATCCGGCTCCTACCGAGGAGCTCTGCAACCGTTGGATCGAGCTCGGCGCCTTCTACCCCTTCTCGAGGGATCACGCGAACTTCTACTCTCCGAGACAGGAGCTCTATCAGTGGAAATCGGTGGCTATATCAGCCCGAAACGCCCTAGGCATGAGGTACAAGCTCCTACCGTACCTCTACACATTGAGCTACGAGGCTCACATTACTGGAGCGCCGATTGCTCGTCCCTTGTTCTTTACGTTCACGAACGAGACGAAATTGTATGGATTGAGCAAGCAGTTCCTCCTCGGGAAAAGCCTCATGGTTTCTCCTGTTTTGCATAGGAACAAAACCGAGCTCAAAGTTCTCTTCCCGCCCGGTACGTGGTACAATCTTTTCGATATGACTAAGGTTGTTGTCTCGAAGGCATCGCACTACCTCAGCCTCGACGCGCCCTTGCACGTGATCAACGTGCATTTGTACCAAAACGCTATTATACCGATGCAACGAGGCGGGCTCATCACTAAGGAAGCGAGAAAGACACCTTTTACCCTCGTAGTCTCATTCCCGCTCGGTGCAAAATCGGGGGAGGCTAGGGGGAATCTTTTTCTCGACGACGATGAGCTTCCCGAGATGAAACTTGGCAACGGGCGTTCGAGTTACATTGAGTTTTACGCGACGGTTAGTGAAGGAGCGGTGAAGGTGTGGTCGGGTGTTGAGGAAAGTAAGTTTGCTTTGGAGAAAGGTTTGATCGTCGAGAAGGTTGTTGTTTTGGGATTGGAGGGAATTGGAAGTGCCGTTGAAGTCGAAGTTGATGGAAATACGGTTGAGGGTAGTTTCGGAATTAGTTCAACGGGGCACGAGTATCATGCGGAGAAATTGGAGGAGGGTGCAGATAAGATGAAGAATGTGATGGTGGAGGTTAAAGGGCTTGAGTTGCTTGTGGGGAAGAAGTTCGTTATTTCCTGGAAAATGGGAACTAAATCTTGAAATTTTACGTTGTTCGATTGGTTTTTTCTTTTTCTTTTTTTTTTCCTTCGAGGTTTATTATTCGATGATCGACATGTTTTCGATTGTGTCCTCGATTTTCGGTATTATTACGGTTGGTGAATGGTGGGGAGATGGCATAAAAAGCTTTGTTCATCCCTTACCATTTAAAACATGAATACCAAGTGAGATGTTTTTTTCTTGTTTTCATTATATTGGTAACATTTGCAAGCCTGTCACATGATTCAATAGCTGTACGAGTTTATGTTGTGTGCCAACCTTGTATTTTTGTAATAATTGGAAAATTCGAAGAAAAAAAAAATTATTTGAAATTAAATAAGGAAGCATTTTTGTTCATTTTAGTTCCCGAATATTTTACACTAACTACAAATTTAATTATTATATTTTTAACTGCCTTCAATTTCATCCGTTTAATTTTATTAATTAAAGTTAATTTATTAATTTAATTATACTTATGTTCCATAACAATTGTCTCTTTTTTAAAATATTTTTGTTTCATATTATTTGTCACTTTAGATTTTCAATACTGCATTACATGCATTTTCCCTGTGTTTTAACCTTATTAATGCATCTCTAAACATTAATTCACTCTTATAAATCATTAAATGATAAAAGTTGTTTTAGTCATTTTTATGTGATTTACCTAAAATCAAGCTACATTTATTGAATTTCTAAATTTTTGTAAAAAATGAAAAGAGAGACTTATTTTGTTTATTTACCATATAATAATAATTAAAATAAAATAAGTATAATATACTTATTATTTTTATTTTCTGATTTAACACATGTAATCTATAATACTCCTTTTATAATTTAATAATAATAAATACATTATTTTTCTTATGATTCATGTTTTCATTAGTAAGTTATCCTGTGCTCATGTTTTTTTAATTATATAAATGCTCTTTTTGAAAATTTTATTTAAGTTAACAAGTAGTAGTATATTCTAGGAGGAAGTGAAAAAGAAAAATAAAATAAAAAGGAAAGGCAATAAAAGACAAACAAACTAAATATGGAGAGGGAATAAAATATATTTTCCACGTGTCAATTAACTACTGGAATCCTACTTGTGTATTAGCAGTTTAGCACGGCTGATGGCTCCAATACATACCTAATATATAATATTGGAAATTGTAATTTTATAGAGAGAGAGAGAGAAAATATTTAAATTCAAATATTAATAGTGGAAGGGCAGGCTAGTAAATGAACATCATGATTTTTTCCAATATTACAAAACTACCATTTTGGCTGGCCAGATTCTGGTCATCTATCTTTATCCTTAAATTTTATTGACTAAATAGAAGGGAATAGTAAAATTCTCGATTGAAATTTTTTTGTACATACTGAAACACTCTACAAAAGTTCGAACTCGTTATTAACTACAACTATTTTATTAAATATGTGACACGGTTTCTCTCATTAGTATTGTAGGGTTTAAATTTTAAATTGGTCTTACTTACCTTGGGCCTGTATCCCTTGAAATATTTGACTGGATCAAGTATGTTAAGAGCGAGTCTTATACAAATTGTAAGAATTTTAAAACATTTGACATGCTTGCTAGTAGATTTTTATTATTATTTTTTTTCAAATAAAAAAATGGATTTTGATGCATGTTTTATTGAACACAAAAAATATTAATGATTGGTTACCGTATTTATTTAAAACTCAATTATTTTACTTCAATTAAGTGAACACCTTAGTTACAATATACAACATATTATCAGTACGGCTGAAAATTGGAACAAATACAGGTGCTCAATTTAATTTGAAAAAAAAAATGAGTTCAAAATAAATAAATTAATCTTGCATAATTTTCCTGGTATTGTTGAAATAATGCATCAAATCCCCCTTCATTATACCAGTTTCGTGTGATTTTCGTCCTAAATTTAGCGTCGTTAACTATTAACGAAAAAATTATTACACAAGAAGAAATAAAATATTTGTAAAATTTTACAATAAAATGAATATTAAAATAAAATGAATGTTAAAATAAAAGGGTAAATTACAACCATCCCAGAGGTATGGTCAAATTACGAAAACCCCCCTCTTGTTTGGAAAACTACAACTAACCCCTCCACTCCTCAAATTTAATGGAATCTTCGAGATTATATGAAATATTATCACTTTGTACCTATCTTATCCCATTCGAACTCCACATTTTGAAGCAAGATGATCATAATATGTGTTTTTTGGCTTGTAAATATATCAAATTATGGTGCATCGGAAGCTGTATTTTTACACAAAACGAGTACAAACTAGAGCACGTTTCACGAAATCTAAATGATTATGTTGAATTTGATACCATAAGGGTGGAAGTGTTAAGAAAAAAATCATATTTCAGAGGATAGATTATATTTATCCCAAATAGAATAAATTATAAAAGTATTATAAAAGTAGAACCAAGCGACCAGGACACCCTTATTCTCTTCGGAATCAT